GATCCGACGCGAGGGGGAGGGGGGACTTAAAGAGACCGCGTCGTCCCGAACCGCTTCCAAATGGGTCTTGGTTTCTTGTCCGCTGCCAGCCTTCCCAGAGATGTCAGATTGACTTTTCTTCGTCATCTTGAGGGAAGCGATCCAGACATTGTCGTGGAGGGAACTTGTTGGCTGGGGGAGGAGGAGGGGCAGGAGAAGGGACCTTCCTGGACACATAACATCCAAGTTGCAGACAGGGTGTGGCGTGGAGGGAACTTGTTGGCTGGGGTAGGAGTAGGGGCAGGAGAAGGGACCTTCCTGGACACATAACATCCAAGTTGCAGACAGGGTGGAAGTGTTGCAGACTCTAAAGGGAGGAGGCGTAAATGTCAAGCCTACCATTTATTCGTTTCCACGTACCGTCTTCCCCGTGGTGTTTAGCCTGTGTGTGTGTGTGGGGGGGGGTCCATCCGTCCGCCCGCGTTGAGTGCTCCAACATTTAAAATAACATAGGAAGAAAAGTTTAGTCTGTGCTTTTACCCCCCCCCCCGCCCCGCGCGCCATAGATGGTAATTTCTAATTTTAATCGTCTTCAATGTGAGATTCCACACGTTGTTATTCTTCACTACATGCCTGTAATATGGCCATGCTGTATTCTGCTCAGTAGATAGATTTGTGTATGTTAGGCTTGGTAATTAACTACCAGATGGTTTAGCTGTGCAAAGCACTAGTTATGTAAAAGGTATAGCTGTAACATACAGTTTGCAAATTTGGGTTTTTGAGTTACTGTGAAAATAGTGATGGTGGCTACAGTGCCTTGAGGGAAATAGCTACTAATTAGAATCCCCAAACTTACTTGAATTAACAGTAGCCCTTAACTGTGTCTCCCACCAATACTTAGCAGTGTAGCACAACGCAGCAATACTTTAATCAGCCAAGATTGTCACTTCAGTAGTATATATTAATAATTTATAGGAATCCCTTTGATTACTAAATGGAGAATTGAACTCCTGAAGTTGACCAGGAGCCAGGGCAGCTATAATCCTAGTCACTTTGACTCTAACCTGCTGTTAGCATTGAACCTTGCCCACTTGAGTTTGTATGTCTCTTTGATCTCCTTATGGGAAAGGGAAATTTTGAGTATTTCTTTGGAGCATTTCCTCAAGGTAAATCGTGTCTACATTGTATTTTGTTTTGCAGTGCCGGAAATTGGTCTTAAGGCCTCACATATGTTAGGTCTTAAGGCCTCACATATATTCCGGTTTTTATTTAGTAAAAATGTGAAAAGGGAATGGATTTAAAGAACTATATTCCGGTTTTTATTTAGTAAAAATGTGAAAAGGGAATGGATTTAAAGATGACTTCCTAAAATTGTTCTCTAGTATTGCAGATTAACAAGGATGATGTAACTGCCCTGCACTGTAAAGTTGTTTGCCTTATCCAGAATGGAAGTTTCAAAGAAGCCTTGAATGTCATCAACACTCACACCAAAGTGTTAGCCAAGTAAGTGATTCAGTTAGTTGTACAGTTACTGGGGATACTTTTGTTAGAGTTGTGTAACCTCATTGTTTTCTTCCACTAGTCACTTACTTTTGACCTACTTTTCTTTTTCCCTTTGTTTTGTTTTGTTTTTGTTTGTCATTGGTCTTTCTGAAATTGGAAGAAGCAGTAGTGGCATTTGTTCTATTCTACTGTGCTATTGGAAGCATTCCTTAGGTTTTTATTGTTTGGAGTTTTTGTTTGTTTTTCCTGGGTTTTCATTTGCATGTTTGTTCTGGATCTAACCCTCGCTAGCCTGGAACTCACAATGTAGCCCAAGCTGGTCTCAAGCTTAAATCCTCTATCAGCCACAGTCTCCAGTTATCCTTCTCTTGAACTACTAAGAAGGGTAAAACATAAAGAAATGCAGACCATAAATGTGAAAAGAGCCAGGTATACAATTTATGCTTGTGATCCTGCACTCAGGAAGCTGGGATGGATTCCTAATTTGAGGCTATATACTAAGACTATTTCCAAAGGTAGGGTTTGGTGAAGGGGAGGGAGAATATAGGGAGAAAACGGTCTGTAGCTATCAGATAGGTATTTATATAATTTAGAGCATAGAAACATCTAAATTGATAGAAGTCTTTCAGAGGATGTGGCAGGCTTAGCCTGACCTCTGGCCCTAGCTCTAATAATTGTTTAGGCCAAGACCTTTCAGTTGTTTATTATTATTTCACAGAATATGAACTTCCTGAATGGATACTTTCTTACATTTGCTTTGATAAATTTTTTCTGGGTGAGAGATTTTAGGTGAAACTTCAAAATAAACTTTGGATACATTCATGTAGGTGAGTTTTAAATCTGGGTATTTAAATGCTGCCTGTTTGCCTGTATCTTTACCAGTTAATTATAAATACAGCATTTTACTTCTGATTATTTTTTCTATGATAATTATTTGCTTCATGAACAAAAACAGAAGCATCATATATTAGGTAGATTAAGAAACTATTCTTTGGAGACAGCATCACATGTCTCCCCGACTGGCCTCAAGCTCCTGAGAAAGCTGAGGAAGAGCTTAGGTTTCTGATCTTTACCTGTAGTTACCAGTGCTGAGATAACAGGTATGTACTACCACATCCAGCTGTGGGGTACTGGGCATAGAACCAGGGCTTTGTATATCCTAGACAAGCACTCTCTCAACTGAGTTACATCTCAGTGTCAAGTGTACCATTTGAGCATAAATGAAGAAATGGATACAGTACTTTTTATCCCTTTAAGGGTCTGTGTGATTTGGGAGGCAAGTCACAAGCTTTGTTACAACTGTTAAATAAGTTAACACATATCAAGTGCTTAGAGCAGTAATAAGAGAAGATGCATAATCTGTAAAGTTAAGATATCTTTTATTAGATAAATGCCAGCCAAATGCAAGCCAGAACGTGCCAGGGGCAGCAAAGCAGGGAGGCCAGAGAGAAGGGCCCCTATGTGCCTTGTCTGTCCCTTTAAACCGTATCCCTAGTCACCCTGACATCAACTTGACCACGCCACAATGGGCATGGTCAGGCACACCTGTAGCCAGCTTCTAGCAGGCAAGGCTTACACTGTCCCCTTTGGGCAGTGGTTCTCAACCTTCCTAATGTTGTGACCTTTTAATACAGTTCTTCATGCTGTGGTGACAACCAACCGTAAAATTATTTCATTGCTACTTTATAACTAATTTTCCTGCTGTTATGACTTGAATGTAAATGTCTGTGGTTTCTGATGGTCTTTGGGGGGTCGAGACCCACTGATTACAAACCACTAGCTTAGAGCAATCTGGCATATTCAGAATGTTACATTATTAGATAATAATCAGATGCTGTTTTGTTTTGTTTTTCTTCAGTAACTCTCTCTCCTTTGAGAAGGCATATTGCGAGTACAGGCTGAACAGAATTGAAAATGCCTTGAAGACAATAGAAAGTGCCAACCAGCAGACAGACAAACTAAAGGAGCTTTATGGACAAGTGGTAATTACTGCTTAAAATACCTGTTGACAGTCATCCCATGTAAGCCTGGCCATACTCCTACCATGGAGCAGGGATGAGGAAATCCAGCCCATCCTGATGTTCGACAAAATTAGTCACCAAACCAGTTCTTGGGATTTGGACACATTCCCTTTCTTGCTCTTCACTGGAAGAGTTGTATGTATAGTATTCTATAAGCTAATACTTCTTCAGGGTCATTGTATGAAATTTAGATTTCTGATTAAAATGGTAAAGGCCGTTGAGCTATGTACAAGGGTGAGACAGTATTTCTAATATTATGAATGATAGGAATTTGGGGGACTTTTTCTGCAATATAATATATATTTTATTTGTAAAACTATGCCCTATGGAAATATTCTTTTTATATTTTAAAATTAGACTTATTCATTTTATATATGTTTGAATATTCTGCTTCCATGTATATAGTACATGTACCACATGCTTGCTTTGTGTTCATGGAGGTCAGAAGACGGTATCAGATACCTAGGAACTGGAGTTACAGATGGTTGTGAACTACCATGTAGGGGCTACGAATCAAACCCAGGGCCTTTGCAAGAACAAGTACTCTTAACCACAGAGCTGTCTCTCCAGCCCCTGAAAGTATTCTTAAAGGATTTGAGACAGAATTAAGCCTGATCTGAAAGTGCTCTTAATGATGAGAGGACAGAGTTGTAAACTGGTTAATTACAGGTAAATTCCAGGACTCGAAGGAAAACAGTCTCTGTCACACTTGGGGTCTAATTGATCCAGAGTAGCGGCTGTTACAGCCCTTTTTGTTTGATTATTTTGTTTTGAGGCAGGTTCTTTCTTAATATATAGCTCTGGCTGGCCTGGAACTTTCAGAGATCCACCTGCTTCTGCTTCCTTAGTGCTGGGATTAAAAGCGTGTGCCATCATGCTGGCCCTATTACTATCATTTAAGAACAGCTTGACTGAAGCAAGGCTTATGTTATATGTACCTGGTGTTAGTATTCAGACATTTGTACTGGCCTGTCCTTGGGGTTCTGACAGGATATGCCCTCAGCTGCAGCCACTGAGAGCACTGTGTACATTCACTGTTTCCTTTTAAAAGGGGCCCTGCCCACCTCCTATCCTTCCCTCTCTTCCTCCCTGTCTACATCTCTCTCTCTCCCCCCCTTCCTCTGCCCCTCTGCCCTCTCTCCTCCCTCCTGCTGCCCCTGTCCCAGATGCCAGTTCCCCCCTCTGTTTTTCACTTTATATGATACCTTTCCCTAATAGAAAACCCCTTCCTGCCCCTGTGCTTGAACCCTTCACATGGTATGTGTCTCTCTTCTTGCCCTCTTTCACCGATGTTTTTAAATTACAACACCTGGTACTGCTATCATTGCATGTGATACCTGGTTTCTGAGAAACAGAAAGTAAAGGTTGTATATAGTGAACTTCTAGGAAATTTTATCTTTAGATAGCATTTAAT